AAATTAGAATTGTTTTGTTTTTGTCACCTTAGAATGAGCTGTTTATATCTACTACATAGGGTGTGGGTCTTGTCTAAGGAGATCGCAGTGTTGCACTGCCATGTTTCTACAGTAGCCCAGATAGGACAAATCAAACACTGGCTCTAGATAGAGTAATTTGTGTTCCCGTGTCTGCCACTGTAGTTAGCAGCCCCTCCGCAGCAGTTTAAGCCATTGGGTTTGTTTGTTTGTTTGTTTGTTTGTTTTGGAGAGGAAAAGATCTCTGTGTGTGATTTGACTCCTGGTAAAAACCTCTTGAATGTCTGGACGTTAAGTTATCAGCAAAAAAAGGTGAGCATAGACTAGTAGGTGCTGGGTTGGTGCATCTTTGATGAGCCAAACAACATCTGAGAAACACCGATTTGTGATGTGAAGCTGCTTTATTCAGCATTTTTACTGGTTTAAATCATCAGGTCTGTTTGTTTTGGAGAGGAAGAGTTCCCTGCGTATAATTTGGCTCTTGGTAAAAACTTCCTGATTGTCTGGATCTTAAGTTATCAGCGAAAAAAGATGAGCACAGATGGGCAGGTGCTGGGCTAGCGGCTGCTTAACAACATCAGAGAGACACTGACTTGTGACATGAAACTGCTTCATTCAGTGTTTTTATTGGTTTAAATCATCGTGTCCATTTGTTTTTGAGAGGAAGAGACCTCTGTAGATAATTTGGCTCCCCGCAAAAACCTTCTGAACAATGAACACTGAAGGAATTTTAAGCAGGAGAAGTTTCAACTGGTTGCAATCTGCAATTCTCGATGCTAGATGCCGCTAAATCCTACAGTGTTCCTTTAAAATTTGGTAGGTAGCCCTTGTGAGCCAAAGGATAAATACTAATTGCAATATGCAGTCCTCACCACTAGATGTCACTAAATCCCAATGAATCTTACACACTGCCTCTTTAAGTTAAGTATGCTGTTAATGCTTTCATACTTTTACTTAAGATTTGAAGAGGACTATTATATGTAGTCGAGTACTGTATGATCTTGCTGGTTTTACTTACGTGAAGGATCTGAATACTTCTTCCACTACTGCAAATATAATTATACAGTATCTCTATTTATGTCACTATACATGTATTTCAAAGAGAGAGCCATCATACCACACATTAAAATATGTCTACATGAAAGCTATCATGTTATGTTTTTCAGGTCTACATCATGGTGTCATCTCCGCCGCGGTGCTGGTGGCCGTACTGATCTTTGCTCTGCTGGCAGGAGCGATGTGGTTTGTGTACAAGAGGAGCGCATCACGTTTTCGTGGCCTTCCCACGCTCGGCAGCGCTTATTACAGACAAACCAGCTCGCAGGCGACAGAGTCGGATGGAAATGTGCTGATCACGGACCTGGAGGCTCACTCAGGAGAATAGCACTCAATGACTCCTTTAAGGTATCTGTCGCCCTCCTGTTCTCTGTCTGCCTCCCGCCGTATCGCCATCAGGTATGAATGCCACATGACACTGTAAATCTGTGACTCCTCAGGACAGTGGTGAGACGATGACGGCAAGCATTTCTGTCTGTAATTTGAGGATGTGTTTGAAGGATCCCAGTTGCTCTCAACACCATTCAGTCATTCAAAACATTTAAATGTGAGAAATGTTTATGAAGGTATGTGGTGTGTTGATACTGAAGAGCCCGCGTTTGATAAACTAACAAAGTTCACATAAAAGAGAATGTTGAAGAAGGGATGCCAGAGAGAGTTAAACCTGTTAGAAATGGTACTGAACACTTGATGTTTGTTATCACCCTGAATTATGAGGATTTGATCAATTATAATTGGTATATATTTGGATAATAAAGAGAGGTTTTACTCACAGGTTTCAAACAGCTGAAAGAAAATCTTCACAAATAAGACGCTGATTGGCGGCAGAACAGAAAGTACAGTGATATTTGTGATGTAATTTGTATTTTTCATTCAGAATTAAGGAGCTGTTGGAGCTGCACATGGTACAGCAAAGTTGTCAGTATTACTTTTTTATTTTATTTTTGTAAGTACACATGCTGTATATTGATAAAAGAGTTTTTGTATGTTCAAAACTAACAGAAAATGTGTAAGGTGTAACTGGAGTCGTTCTCTCATTCACGTTTGTCTGGTCATGAAAGCAAGTTAGTTGATGTATTTTGCACAATTTTGTATGCGTTTCAATAAATTGAAGTCAGGCCCAACAGTGTCATAACTGAATCTTGTTGTGTGAGTAACAGAGGAGTCAAAGAAATAGAGGAAATCCTTGGTGAAATCCTCAGCACATTTCCCCTTTTTGGTCCATCAATTACTTCACTTTTTTTAAATCTAATAGGACAAAAGAGTTTCTCCTCAGCATGACCAATGATGGGCTGTTTCCTCCTGCAACATCCTTTTTTACAAAATAACCGATTTTGCCTTTATAGAAGAATTTATACAGTAATATTATCTAAATGTGCACTCATCTTTACCCACTGTAGCGTTTCAGGCTTATGGACTTTTTGGTCATTTGCTTTTTTATTATCTAATTATGGCCACTCCTTATGGAAAAATGTGCTCTGTTCTCAGTAGAGTGATGTTAAAATGCAACAAGCTTACTTGTAATGTTTCAGGATCACCACACATTGGCATATCAAAGGTCAAGTTTCCTTTTTTCATAGAACAGTAATAAAGTGACAATAAAAAGACATTCATGTGAGCAAAAACAACCAGACAGACTTGAAGCAAAATTGCTCGTTGGTCCTGTATGTTCAATTTTTAGTGGCTTCATATTGGCAGAAATGAAATATAATAAGTATGTTTTCTTTAGTGTATAAACACCTGAAAATAACAATCATTGTGTTTGCATCACCTTAGAATGAGTTGCTTATATCTACATAGGGAGCAGGTCCACAGAGTTCAGCATGTTGCACTGCCAGCCACGTCTCTACAGTAGCCCAGAATGGACAAACACTGACTCTAGATGGGGCCTTTCATGCCTTCCAGCCTCTCCAAGACACACAGACTGTTTTTTTTTTTTAAGGTGAAAGAAAATTGAATGAATCCTTCTTGGGGCTGACGGCAATGATCGTTGTCATTGTCGATATTTTCTTGATTTATGGACTAATTATTTGAGTGTAAGCCCATCACATTATTTCTAGGGCCTAAGGTAGTATCTTCAAACGTGTGATTTTGTCTGACCAACACTTCAGAACCCAGTGAAATTCAATTTACTGTAATCTAAGACAAATAAGTGTGGTGGCAGTAGCTCAGTCTGTGGGGACTTGGCTTGGGAACCAGAAGGTTGCTGGTTCAAGTGCCCATCCGGACCAAATATGGAGCATGGACTGGCAGCTGGGGAGGTGCCTGGGCACTGCCAGGGTAGACAGAGCAAGGCACCAAACCCCCAACTGCCCAGGGTAACCTCCCCATCCTGACATCCCTCCATTTAATGCATGTATAGGTCCTGTTTGTGCATGTGTGTGTATTTCAGGCCTGTGTGTACATGACAACAGAGTGAAAAACATTGAATTTCCCCTCTGGGATTAATCAAGTATGTCGTCTTACTCTTCTTTATTGTTTTAAATCATAGTTTGTTTTGGACAGGATGAGACCTCTGCTGATATTTTGGTTCCTGGGAAAAACTTACTGAAGGTCTGGTTTAAGAAAAAGGTGATAGTCCCTGTAATTCTGATGCAGGGATTAGGCAAAGTAGGTCATTGCTTTTTCTTTTTTTTCCAAATGAGATAATTTATCTTATAGTTTCTTTGATATTGTTCTTAGAAATCTTTCTTTTCATGTTTAAATAATCTACCAGTAACCTCTGATCACTGACAAGACAAAACGAGAGACAGTCCTGTTATCTCTGTGGAACCAGTGCTGAGTTTATATGCCTTTGTGTAAAAATATAATAATCCCCTAACGATTAATTGATCTAAATAAGACCCACTCCAAGCCATTAGACTGCCCTAAATAAAGGTGTCAGCATTTGGCAGTGCCTAACAATGGAAACATGAGAGAGAAAAATGCAGCTATTGAGCGTTTCTCTGACAGATTCTGACATCAGGATGTAAAGTGATTAATAATTCACCTGCTACCTTTACAAATAAACCATTAGGAGCTACAGTGCACACAGGACAATCAAATAATGCTCTGCTGCACTTCCACTCCACTGCAGCTGGTGAATGACAAACACAACGAGCGTGCGTTTCAGTTGACAGAAACAACCGAGTGGGCGTGAAGTGGGTAATTGGAGAGAATATCAGGGCTTTCTGGGAATGTGAAGGGTGGGCACCAGCGCAAAGGGCAACACAATGCAAGGGCAGAGACAGAAGAGGAGTCACTCCGCCTTCAAAATCATAGTGTCAGGCCTAACCTGTATGAAATATGATGATCAGACAGACTGTAAATAAGTCAAAATTATTAGATAGCACAAGTCAAAATGTCAAGTCAAATTTATGATCTAGTCAGATTTGATCTCATAGTTTATTTGACTTAGTTTCCTAATACATTTGATTAAGTAGCCTATTTCATAATTTACTTGACCTGTGACTCAAGTTGGATTTAGTGTCTCATGGGTTTAACTTTTTTTTTTCTACATAGGAGGTCATAGCTTATTTTGTTTTTATTTATTTATTTAGTCCATACTTTGCAAGTCAGTATTATGAGATATACTTTTGGTTTGATTTAGTATTTAATTAAATTCGACTTAATAGCCTGTCTCATCTAAATTTGACTCAATTTTTCCTGGTAAGTCATATTTTGGCCTAATTTTGATTTAGTATTTCCATTTTTTTTTACTAAACACATTGTTATTATTATTATTATTATTATTATTTTGGGATACTATGTTTATTTTTTGTTTGATTTCGTATCAAACATATGTTACTTCATCGTCAGGAGCCATATTAATTTGACTCAGTAAGTCAGATTTATGATGCATGCATGAACATTTTACTTAGCAATAACTTTAACTTAGTCTATTGTAATTTACTCAGTGAGTTATAAGTTGGATTTAGCAGTCCAAATTTTTGACTTAGATTTTATTTTGACTTAGTGTCTCATAATTTATTTGAATTCATGAGTCATAAGTTGGATTTAGTGTCTCACAATTTTGAGATATATATATATATATATATATATATATATTTATTATATAGCATATTTTTTTGTTTGTTTTAATTTAGCAAGTCATAGTCTAAATTTGATAGTATTTCAGATTTTATTTTATAATTTTTTTAGTCAGGAAGTCAATATTATGGAATAATATTTTTTTTATTATTTTTTTAATATTTTTTTTTTATTTAGTATTTAATAAATGTGATTTGGTAGCCTATCAGTAGTTTGAAGTAGCTAAAAACTTTTGAATTAGTGATAACTTTGACTTCATGTCTCATAATTTACCTTACCCAGCAGGTCATGAATTAGATTTAGCAGTCCATATATTATTTTTATTTGACTTAGAATAAATTTTGACTTAGTGTCTCATAATTCACTTCACTCAGTGAGTCATGAGTTTGCTTTAGCTATTTATATTTTATTTATTTATTTATTAAGACTTTTGACATAATTTTGCATTCATTGTATTGTTTTTGGTTTTTTTTTTGACTTGGTGAACCATTTTAACCGGCATGACCATTGAAATAAAAAAAATATTTCTATGATTAGAACTCTGTTTTAGTGCGTCATCATTAGTATTGTAAAGTGAATATTGATTTAACACTAGCATTTTATTTTTTTATTTTATTATTATTATTATTTATTTATTTATTTATTTATTTATTTTTTTAAATAATTTCAGTTTCGTATGTTTGACTGGGTAGGTCATAGTTTGTCCCAAAATTAATATTTTCATTTTCATCCTGCGTCACAACCTGTCATCCTTCACTGCTCCATATCATTCCTGAACAGCAGTTAGTCGACTTTATTTAAGACGTTAGACCGGAAGTTTCTTCCCTCACTGTGAGTGACGTTAACTTGACGGCGCCGTCGGAGCGGGACTGTGGATAACACAGCTGACAGTTGGGAGAACTGGGTTAGGTTAGTTATCTGATCACTTTCGCTTTGGAGTTTGGAGTTCAGTTATCGATCGGCCTATATCCACAGCTCGACTCTCCGGGAGGGCCGATTCTTTATGAATCCATCAAAAACACTGAGCCGTGACCATGCTGAAAATACCCACAGCGACACTTTGCCTTTGTTTGTTGACTGTGTTGGACACAACTGTGTTCTTGGGAACTTGCTCGCAGGCCAACGACAAAGGTAAGTCCGACACTTTGCTTTCATTTCTGTGCCACTTTTCGTGTTTTCAACTATGACGAAGCTGTTTCGGCCATTTAGTTTCGACTTAGCTGTAAAACTTTGTCCCAGAGGAGCGCGACAGGAGTCCGAGGACAATAGCGTCAAAGCTGCTGGAGGCAAACACAAAAAACAACTCTTAGGTTAACTCGTTAGTAGTTTGACATTGTTTCCATCCTCGTGAGTTTGATGCCTCAACATATTGTGACAGGTCAAACAAACTGCATACTCATCCCTCCTCCCCTGAGGAGCTGTGTGTAAGTCATGTGCGTATCTGTGTTGCTCTCAGTGCGTAGGCTAAGCTACTGTTTACTCTCCATAGAGTCTAATGAAGCCTGAGTGGCTACAATACTACACTGTGATGCTGTGTTATAATATCATTTTCTATTTTTAAAAGCTTGTGTGATTAGGTACTGTGTGTATGCCAGCTGTTTTTAATTGTTTGCTCCATATTTTGCTGTGATCTGTGTTCTCACAAGTCCAAACCTACTGTCCACTCTTTATTTCTTTGGATAAATATGCAGCTACTAAAATGTTTTATATAAAATTTCCTTCCCAATATAAAGATCCAATTACTGTGTCAAAGCCTTCACTACACTGACAGGAATTTTTTTACTTTCTTATTTGTTGCCTAAAAGTAGCCCAATTTAAATAAATGAGCCAAAATAGTTCAATAAACACACATCAGTTGTGACTTTTTAAATATATATGTGTATATATATATATATATATATATATATATATACTGTGCATATATACACTATAGTCAGCTCTTTCCACTATTTTACATGGTATTAAAAATTTAATCTTAAGATAATGGTCAGTCTAGCAGTTAACAGTATTTTAAAGACACATTTATCTTATGTCGTACCTTTATCAGGGATTTTGCCCTGCTTTAATGTGGCAAATGAGCAACTTCTTTTCAGAATATTTTCATTATCTCTTTGGCAACCTCTTGGCAATATGAAAGAAATTAAAGACAGGAAATAAGGAAATGGCTAACCATTTATAAACATCCAAATTCCCCCAACCTTCCCTAAAAAAAAATACAGAGGAGATGATCTCAATGTGCTCAATTGTAGCTTCTGTTGTAAGTAGTTTGAGCCAATTTTCTTTGGGATTTTACCTGTATGGCCCACAAAGATAGACTTTGAAACCCAAATCAGAGCCCAGTCCAGATCTTAAGAGTATAGCAACAAACAGGTGGAGGTCAGCCATATTTTAAACTCTTTTCTATGTCCGTCTCATCCTCATAGATGAAGATGCTTTCACCATCCAGCACTCGAGCACAGGGCAGTGCCTGGGCACAGGGGCTTCAACAGACTTGACTCTTGCCTCCTGTGACCCAAAAAGCAACTCCCAGCTGTGGAAGTGGGGTTCAGGTCACCGTCTCTTCCACGTGCACACGACCCTCTGCTTGGCGTTGGACGTCCGCACCAAGGCATTATCCCTGGTCGACTGTGGCGCCAACATCCTGCTGTGGTGGCGTTGCCTGGATGGAGCTGTGTACACTGTTTATGAAATGGGCTTGACGGTCAGCGATGGCAAAGTCACCACCAAACGGGACACTAATGATACTTGGGTGAGAGGAGGATCCCAGGACAGCATCTGCCAGAAGCTGTACCGCAGTGAGTGTGGTTTTATTTTGTTTTGTGTTAGAGAGAAAATGCTTACATACTGTCGATGTGCAAAAAAGGTGAGTGCTTTGTGATGTCCATTATGGAGCTCTGAGGACTGGCTAATGCTTGGGGAAAATATCAGTTGAGAAATTAAAGTTGTATTGAATTCAGTTTGTGTTGAGTGTAATAATGGATTTATGTCTTTCAGTGTAACACACTAGAAATTATCCACTTCCTCAATTCAACCTTCTGAGCCTAAGCTACACCCTTGTATATAGAGGTGTTACCTCCGTTGGCCTTTGTCTCACATGACCAAACAGGTTCTTGCGCATTTTAAACAGAACCTGACTGGTTGGTTATCTTCATTCCTATCAATTATTACTCCTTTACGCTCGGTAACAACACGGTGTGTCACAAAATTCCAGGTTAAGGAAAATACCTATCTCTGAAATGTGTTTATCTGAGTTTTAAAACTGTGCCTTTTAGAATTTCTGGGGAATTCCTTCAGGGGTGCTAAATGATAGTGCGTATGGCTGTGTGGTGCAGTGCATCAGAGAAGCTGGCTTTCACTTTTGGTTTGTGGATATATGAGAAGATGTTTGGAATTACAATACCCTTATGTGTCCTGTTTATTACACTAGTAAGTATCTATAAGAGTGGACAGAAAAGGTTTAGATGTTAATAATAGATTTTTAAACTGCACATTTTTCCAATAATAATAATAGTAGTATGTATGAGTTTAATAAAAAAAAAAAAAATTTGTAGATTAGCATGTGTAAGAGCTAAAGTGGCATTAAGTGACAGGGATTTTTTTTCAAATAATTCATGTTTATAATCCAAACAATTTGCCTTTTTAAGAGGGATTTTTGCTGAAATGTGTGAGCTGATGTCTGTCAGAAAAAAACACATGAAGCAGGAATTAAAGTTTTAGATGTATATCCAGAGGACACAGAATATGAGTGTGAGCGGTGTATGCTTTCCTTATGATAAATTGTAAAAATAAAAACACACAAACTAGGATGATCTAGACTAGCATGAAGGAGCATTTACATACCTTTCACATTTTCTGTGATTAGTTTTTCTGCACTTGATTTTTGCTCACTTGTTACTTCTTTGTCATAGAATGTTATTTCTCCTAATTTATAGTTCTTCTATACACCAACATGCAGGATCTGATGTTAGGGTGAATGGTGAGGTGCATATATGGTATCATCTAACCTAATAAAATAGTTAGCCTGCTTAGACAGGTCTTGCTGGTTTTTAGCACCTACGGCAGAGAGAGTAATTAATAGATAGGAAATAATCGCCCTTCTTAATGGAGGACCTGGTGACACTTGTTGCTGCAGCGGTTACTGACTCATCAGTAGGCTTAACTGAGATGATGAGTACGTGGGAGTGAACTGGCAGTTGAATAAAATTAGGTTGCCTATAAACTGCTTTTGTAGTTGGAAGAAGCCTCAAGATTAAGTTATATGTGGCAGTTAGGGCTGGGCGATGAGGAGGAAATTAAATATCACGATATTTTTGACCAAATACCTTGATATAGATATTGTTACAATATTGTAGGGTTGACTATTGGTGCTTTCGCAGATTATTTTCACAGTTAGATTGTTGGTGGATATAATGACTCAGTTGGTAAAGGCAAATAATAGAACAGCCAGAACAGTCAGAAAATTACATCACTTTACTGTAATGCAGCCTTTTAAACCAGGAAAAGACAACACTCGTGATGTTATATTACTGTACTCTCAAACAGGGGCAAAGGCATTTTCTTTTATACTAGTCATACAATATTTTATGTAATTGCAGCATCTCCTTATCACTTTAATTGAAAATCAGAATCAGAAATACTTTGTTGACCCCGAGGGGAATTTATGATTTGTTAGAGTTGCTCCGATGTAAAGAATAGAGAATTATAAGAAGAATAAGAGCATGAAACAAAGTTTGTAAATATAGAGCAATGAATAAACACGCACATAAGCATGCACATTTTGCCACAGTGTTTAATACTAGTACTTAAGATATAAAATTTAAATGTAGCATAAAAAAAAACAGTTGCACAGTTGAATAATTGCTCAGAATTATGCAGGAAGCATCTGTATTTTTTGAGGGTATAAAAAATTATACCTTCGATATTTCTTTTTTTAATAATCAGCAATTTTTATTGTTTTCTTTTGAACAGAAAAAACAGCATCAAATGGGATACATCATACAACCATAAAAAAATCTGTAAAAATAGAGTATAAGGTCTGAAAAAGTTACAGTTTTATAAGACAATGCTGAGACGGACTGAATAAAAGAACATTAACAATACTAAAAATATATACTAAATAATCATTGGCAGATCAGTGAAAATAACTGTGTCATGTGACACATTTCTAAATAATTGTGAAGGATTTGAGCCAGTATGTTAACATTGCCCACTTAGGGTAGTATTTCTCCACCTGATGGATAAGCCTAAAGGAGAGGCCCTCGTGCAGCCACAATACGCAGTTGGGAGAACCACACCCTGGCTGGTGGTAAAGTGATCGTCTTCCATTCTGTTCCAATACGTTTTCTCCCTAGCATGAGAGATGTCTGGACCCAGTCTGACTGGGGTGCAGACGGGTCTTAGAGGAACAGGATCACTCAGAGCAAACAAGCAGAATTTTCGTGCAACAGGACAACAGTATGTGGAGGAGTGTGCCAACACTCACCCCACACCACCAGAAATCCGGGCCGTCTCTTGATTCCACCCTAGATAACCTTGAGGAGGACCAGTACGTCCTGTTTATACTTTTAAACTGCACTAGTTTCAGTGATGTTTTCTTACTGTTCCTTAAAATGTTCCGTTCCTGCTCTGTGAATGTTTGGTTAAGATCATTCTCCCAGGCTGATTTAAGACCAGAGCCCAGACTGCCAAAACTTTTAAGCAACTGGAAGTAGTATGTTGATGCCTCATGGCCAGCACCAAATATTTTAACCACATTAGAGACAATGTCAGAGCTTGGCGGGGAAGTTGTAGTGGAACCAAATGTTTGAGTTAAGAGATGTTTAATTTGGAGATATCTCCAAAACTGCTGACAGCGGAGACCAAATTGCTGCACCAGTGCAACCCTCGGGATTTCTGAATACACTGGTCCACTCTAATAGCTTGATACTGCCACAGTCTGTTAGATGTAGTGTTTCATCAATTTTAATTGCCAAAATGCAATACTATACTAACTATGTCTACAGGTTTTCTGTGTTTGTGGTTCTTTGGATGACAAATAAACACATTTCTGTCCAATTATGTTGTACAGCATTTCCAAAGAAAGACTTTCCTCTCATCTTAGGGTGTTATCACACTTGGTCCTTTTCAGCCCTCTAAATGGACTCAGATCAGTGTATATCTGAACACTCCAAGAGAACTCAGACCCCTCTGAAGCGAACCAAGGCCATGGTGCGGTTCACGTTAACCTGTGCCTTGTGAACACAAAAAGCTCCAGGTTTGATTTGCTCTTTGCCGTTGTATTTAGTCCTCTAGATCACATGCTGTTGCACTGGGACGCTTGAAAAATAGACAAAACCATGTCGGCCTGTAATGCTGGTAAGGACGCAAGACGAGAAGTAGTAAGTAAGTAGAAAATACTGCATGTCTCCAGTTGTGGAATGTAGAATACATCAACCGGCAACAGTCCATAGCACAGAAACGCTGAGGGTTTCCTCCAATTTTAAGTTTATCTGAAAGCGAGGGGCTTTTCAGCAGTTCCACATCAAAGTAAAAAAAAATAGGCTAGGTCAATATATGTAGTGTGAACAGAAAGAGGACTGAGGCCGCATCAGAGCTGAAGCTGACCAGAAAGAAAACTGAGTCCTTTTTCAAATGGCGTGACACTGTGAACACAAAAAGACCCAAGTCTCTTTTCTGTTGGTCCACTTTTTGGTGCACTTTAATAGGACTGAGTTCGGTTTGTTTAAAAAGGACTATATGTGAAAACACCCTTTGTTCACTGTGGTCTGCTGAGTGTGTGTTGGTGTGGTGTGAGAAAAAGAAACGCTGGTTTGGTGTACATCACAAGACACCAAACTTCACTTTAAACAATTCACTGTCCAGACATGTTTGTTTTTCTTGGAAATGACACCCATGCCTGAGTTTGGTTTGTTTAAATAGGACTATATGTGAAAACACCCTTTGTTCACTGTGGTCTGCCAAGTGTGTGTTGGTGTGGTGTGAGAAAAAGAAACGGTGGTTTGGTGTATGTCACAAGACACCAAACTTCATTTTAAACAAATCACTGTCCAAACATGTTTGTTTTTCTTGGAAATGACACCCATGCCAGAGGCGTGTAACAGGTCTTTGACTTTGCTCTTTTCTCACGTCTCCTCTCTGTGCAGTTGTCCACACCACCGGTGGGAACTCTGCTGGCTCTCCCTGTGTGTTTCCCTTCAAATACAATGGCAGCTGGCATCACGGGTGTCTCCCAGATGCAGATTTCCCTGGACTGTCCTGGTGTGCTACATCAGCGGACTATTACCAAGACCAAAAGAGGGGACACTGTCTAACACCTGGCATGTTGTATTATATTATCATAAGCTTCATGATTTTTGTCCCTTGTACTTGACAAGATGTTGACTATTGAGACGTTCAGCAGCTGAATTTTAGAATGTAGGCTTTTTTTTTGCATGGCTGGATGTTTTCCAGGACCCAGTCATGACATTAATGACCTAAATTGTCTACTAGAAGCTGGTGTGTGCCAGCTAGTTTTTCTTTGTAATAAATCATCATAAATTACATCCGGCATTAACAAAACCAAATGACATGCTTAGATTCTCACAGTGACACTCTTTGACCTTGCAGAGGAGGGTTGCCAGACTCTGTTTGCCGGGCCGGAAGAGGAATCCTGCTATGAGTTTGTATCCAGTGCCGCGGTGACCTGGCATGAAGCTCTGGATTCATGTCGTAGTCAGGGAGCTGATCTGCTGAGTGTGTTGAGGCCTGAAGATCTCCACTCCAAAACCTGTAAGACTAGTTTATTATTTGTTACGTTTTCTACGCCTCCTTTGTTTCATCTGTTTCTGCTCCACCTGTGACCTAACAAAAATCACCAAGAAGGCAAAGTCGTCATCTTTGTGTTGGACGTATTGGATTCAGCATTTGCACAATCTAAAGCTTCCTAACACACGTTTATAAAGCGTATAATGATAAAAACTGTAATAATATTAAGCTGACTAGGCAACTACAACTAAATGGCTCCATGTAATGACTTACATATAGTTAAAAGTGAGCCTAGAGTGACTGAGAATGATCTGTTTGCACGAGCACTGATATGACCTCATTAGATCTCACCTAGAGTAAGTGCTGCAGATCATCTGCACACTAACGGATACCGCAGGGTTTTGTTGGTATCTACCATAAATTTGTCACAGGAGGCTGCCTCTGACTTCTTACCAATGTTGTAAGTGTGGATGTTGAGACAGACCCCGTTTTACTACTTCTTGTTTCTGCTCTTTGTGTGGTTTTTTTTCTTCTTCTTTTTTTAAACCTTGTTCATGGTGCTGTTGGTTTTTCCACTCTCATGCTCATGATACATCAGCTGAAAACTATTCAGACAAGTTCAAGCACTAGAAATGTTTTAAAAAGTAAACTAAACAGTCTCGTAGGCTCAAGGATGCATTTCAGTCCTTAGTGTCTTCTAAAGGCCAAAACACGCTGGTGGCGTACGACGCGCATCAAAACAGCCGCCCCCATTATTTGCTATTTACAAACCCACACACTGGCGGCAGCTTGACGCGCGTCGACGTGCTGCACTGCGGCACTTTACGCTATTGTCCTATTTTTCCAGCCTCGCCGCCCTTGAAAAATCGCTATTTTGTACTTCCCAGCCTAGCGGACTGGAGTGTGCAATAGAAATCCAGTTGACGCCCCGCAGCACGACGCTTTTTGTGTGTGTTGGAGGCGGCACTTGAGTCGCGTCAGTGACGCCGCCGGTGTGTTTTGGCCTTAAGGGTTTTGGGGTCATAGGCACTTCTGTGGGAATATCAAAACCAAAAGCAGTGTCTTTTGTTTGCAGAGCTTGCATCACTGTGATCTAACCTGTTATGTCTTGACATGACTTGCATCAGGAATATGTCATGTTCTTAAGTTAATGCTGCTGGCTGTTTGAGAACAAGGCTTTTGCAACTGCCTCCTTGTACTTGTGACACTTCAGCTACAGTGCTAACTTGTTTCGAGAAGTTGAAAACCACATCAATGTGTGACTACAGCAACACCAGTTCCCTTTATCAGGCTGACCATGCTTCCTTAAATAGTGCCAGCTACTTTAAACCTAGATGCCCCTTCAGTTGACCTGTACACACAGTTTTGTGTCCCAGTTAGGGCCTGACTGTTATACGTGTCTCCCACTCTTCTCTTTTCTCTCCTTCCTTGTGTTTCATTATGTTGTTGTCACAATTCCAAATTATCTCGATGATTCATATTACTTTAAACTTATTTCCTTTTTTTAATGTACGCATTACTTGTCCCATGTCATGTGAATGTTGCATTGTGCAGTACTGGAGGGCCTTGAGGATATGCCTGAGAGGATGTGGATTGGCCTTCACCAGTTAGACACCTCTCACGGCTGGCAGTGGTCAGACGGTTCCCCTCTCTCTGTCCTGCGCTGGGAAACAGGTGATGATGGTTATGTGTTTTTTTTTCTTCTTTTGTCTCATGCTACTTTTTAATCTTTGCCCCGCTTCTGAGAGTACCAGTGTAAACATGTTGATTTAAAAATATTAAAACAGTTAGTGGTTAAACCCAACATTTCCTCATTTATGACTGGAAACACCTGCTGTTCCTATTACACCAAAACCCTGCATCCTGTTGTGATCTGCTGTTGTCACCACCCTTCTATAAACTGAGACGTGGTGTCATTCAGAGAAACAATGAGGCCAGTGTTGTAAAGAAGCTCATTGTGCCTGGTTTTTGGGCACAGTGTGGCATTGGGATTGTTACTGTTGCTGAATAACTCATTAATAGTACTGAATGGAAGGCTTTATAAAGCCTTGTGGCTATTGTAATATGTTTGCTGTTTATTTCTTTCGTCTCAAAGGGAAGATGTTGTTCGACTTAACACTGTAGTGGGAACGTCAAGGATACTGCAGCCATCTGGCCTTCTGCTGATATGAGCTCTTTGTGGTTGCTGTAATTTACGACAGGTCAATGTTGCTACTAGCAGCATTGTGTTGAACCGTTATTGCAACATCACACATTTCTTTTATATTACCTCTCTGTGTGACACACAGTTGATTAACCGAACCTAGAAAGATACCCAGAGGTAAATGCCACTCCTCTGCTCTGCTGTTACAATCAGGGTGTAGTTTTATTTTTATGTATTGTGCGTGGGAATGTGTTTGACAGGAATGCCATCCACCTCGCTGATTTTTGAGTCAGACTGTGGAGTACTTAACTCCAAACAGAACTACGAATCTGAGTCGTGCAACAAACGGCTGCCATACGTCTGCAAGAAGAGCATCAACACCTCTCAACCAGCTACAACAGGTAGGTGCACTGCTGCCCTCACTGTCCGCACTTTTATTTTCCTTCTGAATCATACTTAAACGAGACCATGAGTGTACAGCAGTGATACTGAACATACAGTCCATGGGCCAAATCTGGCCTGCGATCAGGTGTCCCAGCGACCTCTTTCTAATCCACAATGAAAATAAACTGATTCACACTGGGGTTCTTTTTTGTACTTTGAATTTAGAATAGTGCCAGTCAGAGTGCATAAAAGTGTCAGGGGAGGATCTAAGGTCCTGGCTAAGCCCTGAATGCCCTCAAATCCTTGAAACGCCCCTACTTACACTTGACCTGTGTAGGGCTGCTGCTTTATCTGACAAATTTAATTGTTTGTTTATTAACTGGCCCTTGGCCTCCTGTCATTATGCAAAAGTGGCCCCTGGGTAAAGCAAGTTGAGTATCCTTGGTCTACAGTCATGCCAGCGGCTCTGTCAGGCTGTACTGGAGGCTGGAGCCTATCCCAGCTGACATTGGGCGAGAGGTGAGGTACATCCTGGACAGGTGGCCTGACTATCACAGGGCTGACACATAGAGGCAGACAACCATTCATGCTCACTTTAACATGAACGGGCAATTTAGAGTCACCAGTTAACCTGCATGTCTGTGGACTGTGGGAGGAAGCCGGAGTACCTGGAGAAAACCTATGCTGAAATGGGGAGTACGTGCAAACTCCACACAGAAGGGCTGCCCCAGCCTGGGTTTGAACCAGGAACCCTCTTGCTGTGAGACAGTGCTAACCACAGCACCATTGTGCCGCCATTAAAACTTGACGATATAACTAAATAAAAAGTCAGGTTGTCACCGAAGATATTCCAATCCATCCTGAGCTGGACAAGAATTTCCGTATGAAATTTCATGGCAATCCATCCTGTAGTTGTGAAGATATTTCAGTCTGGACCAAAGTGGTTGACTGACTGAATGACACAACAGCATTGCCATCCACAGAGGCAATGCTTACATGACTAAAAGCCGGCTTTGGATCTAGGAGCTTTGCTTGAAGCATGTAGTATCACACAGTTCACCCAACATGACCAAATCTTTCACCCTCCTTCCACATGAAAGCTATTGCATTTTTGTCTGTTTTGGAAGTGAGATCCCTCCTGTGTCTCTCCCTTTGTCCCTGCTCTACATATCAGAAAACCTTTAAGTCAGATTAGTGATTTCCCCCTAACAGCCTCGATCTGTTCTGCTCCCTCTCTACAGAGCCTTTTGTATATAAAGAAACACAGTGTGGAGACGGTTGGGTCCCCTGGAATGGTTGGTGTTACAAGTTAGTCAAGGACAAATCTGGAAACTTTACAGATGCCCAGATACACTGTAACAGCACAGAGGGAGCAGGGGAAGGCTATCTGGCCAGCCTCCACTCTGTTGACGCTAAAGAGATGATCAGCACCAACTTCCATGCAGGTAAATTAAAACAAGAATTCAAAATGTTCTTTCACCAGACTGTTACCTTGATTTTAAACATAACCATAAACTGATGTTCATATGTGTGTTATGGTCCATTAGATGGCCAGTTGTTGGATGTGTGGATCGGTCTGATCGGTACTGGCGTGAACCCCACTGTCTTCAAGTGGATTGATGAGGCGCCTGTCACCTTCACCTACTGGGACCAAAACCAACCAGTCCAGCCCATTTTGGATACCAGCTGTGTCTTCTACTCTGGAGAGGTGTGTGCATGTGTATGTGTGTGTGTGGGAGTTAGTGATATGGGTGTGAGCACATGCATTTTTTGTAACCCCACCCATTCCATCCATTCTTTTTGCATGGAGTGGCTCGCTTTTTGTTTTCTTATGATCTGCTGTTTCAGCTTGTTAATATGAGGCCTGCAAAATCAAATCTGTGTCCATGTCCTACAGTCTCATGGTTGGAAGATTGGGAACTGCACACAGAGGCTACCCTTTATGTGTCAGAAGAAAGGAAAGGTCAACGAATCAGCGACACAGCCCGGATGTCGCTTTGAAGATGTGAGTATTGTCTAATAGAGCTCGTAAGTCACGCCCCTTGTGGTAGACCCCCATCGGACCTCTAGGCTCGGAAAATATGAATGGGAGTCAATGGAGAGAAAATTATTATTTTCTGGTCCCAGTCATTAATTGCCTTGGATTACACAAATGTTTTGTGTGGGTCTAAATAATATGTTTTCATGTTAAGAGTTTGACAGTTTATTGTATGATTCTTCAGTTAAAGGCTGTGGAAACAACGTAATGAGAAAGACTACATGTAGCTTATGTGACGTCAGTTAGCTAGTGGAGTCATAATACTCACCGAAACCTTGTAACGCTGCTCTCGTCTACTGGCGTGGACAGCACCGACCATCTCCCCACTGGCATAGCTGAAACTTTCCACATGTCCAGACTTGTAGTGGTTTTCGCCACGCTTAAGGCTTTTGTCCTCTCCTTGGAAGAAGGCGGTGAAGTGTACCAGAGACACAGCCATGTTTCAAGTGCGAGTGGTGACGTATATCATACGTGTTGAGAGCAGTGAAGAGCTGTAGTCCACAAAACCTAACAGTATCGAACTTCTTCCTGCTAAATGGTAGCCTTCTTTGCATCTATATTAAAAATTCACAAACATATGTGAAATTCATGGCACAATTCAAACGGAACCAGAAAATAATTTTCATCTAGCCATTGAAATACATTATGAGAAATTGATTTTTAAGTTCCCATGTACCGAAATGGAAACACACAACTTACGAGCTCTATTGACCTGGTTTTTCCAGCAGAAGCTTGTAGTGTTTTGCATTACTTTTTCTATTTTGTTTGCAATTGACATGTAATTTAGGTCAAGACTCCAAGACCTTTCCACAGATGAGTTTTTGTTCAATGCGATCCTTTTCTTTAATCACATTCGCAAGTGATATCTGTCCTTTTACACATGAATATCTTGTTCTTGAGCTGCATGCATATGTCAGCAATGATCATGATATCATGAAAAAGAAAGGAGTAGCCTGCATGTGCTTATTTAAAGGAGTACTTGCTGTCAAGGTCAGATGACATTTGCTCTAGTTATGAGTCATAAATGGGCTAAAGGTAGATCTGTAGCTATATTAGCCGTTACTGCCAAAATGAAAGAGATGTGTGGGTACGAAAAGGAAACTATCACAGTTGACTGTGATGGTGAAAACACATGAATCTGACTGCTCTCAATCACAGAGGACTGGAGGAGTATGAGAAGCAGGAATATGTATGAAAGTGACAGATGTTTGCTTGTAAACTGAATGTAGCTTAAGTATCACTGCTGTCAATCCCCCAGGGCTGGAGGAGGCATGGCAACTCGTGTTATCAAGTGAACACCAAACAAGTATCCTTCAAAGATCGCTGCAACATCACTATTAGAAACAGGTAGGAGTTTGTTCAGCTGGTGACCCTACTGCTTGATCAAAAATACACACAGGCACTCATCAGTTGCTGCCCACGAGTACTTTCTTGTATCATCATAGTTGACTGTTCTTCCCAGGTTTGAGCAGGCCTTTATCAGCCGTCTACTTGGAGAGCAGATCGGCAAGGACACTCAGTACTTTTGGATCGGGCTGCAGGACATTAAGAACACAGCGGAGTACCAGTGGATGAGCGAGGATGGGTCCGCGGGTGTGGTTACTTACACCAACTGGGGTTGGTTTGAACCAGGTTAGTAAAACCACGTCTGCTCCACTCAGTATTTAATGCAGTTCAAGTTCAAACATAGGTGTTAAAGAGGACCTGTTATGCTCCTTTTCAGGTTCATACTTGTATTCAGAGTCTCTACTTGAACATTTAACACACTTTAATGGTCAAAACACAATTTATTTTCCTCATACTGTCTTTGCTAGAACACCTGTATTCACCCTCTGTCTCAAAGTCAGCGTTTACCCCCCAGAAAGCACACTCTGCTCTCATTGATCAGTGTTTCCAGGTCTTCTGTATCTCAGTATCTCTGCGCCATCATTGTAAACAGGGAATGACATTAACGGGGAATAGCGGGACTTATTATCTTCAAAAACCAAAAGTAAAAGCTTCAAAACACGCCTGGACACATTCCAGGAGGAATATGATCTTAAATCGGGACGAAATTCACAACATCAGCAACCAAGCTTGCATGTTTCCCTGACATTAGCATGTAGCTACATGTAGTTGGACCTATGGTTGAGACCCACTGGGCTGCGTAATGTAAACACTTGCAGTAGCGTGCCTAGAGCAGATGACCATATATAGATATCTCACACTTTATGACATCATACTGTAACCAGAGTAGGCAAAACAAGTATTCAGAGCAGTCTGAAGCATGAGGTTTTCACTCACAGTGATTAATGCACACATGTGTCTCATATTTGAAACTTTGGCCACACTGAATACTAACACCCTTCCCTCTAACGCTATGTTAGACACAACATACAGTAAAGCATAATTGGTCCCCTTTAAAGGTTCTGAATACTGGAACAGCAGGCCCACATTTTTCTTTTTAAAGAGCCAAAAATAATATATGTTGAAACACATGTAATTTACATTGAGGAAATAATCTTATGTACCATATTACTTCACACAGTAGCTTTAACTTCCTTTTGTTTCATCTACGTGTCTATTTCAGCCAGGGTTGGAGGCTGTGTAGCGATTTCCACTGCAAAACCCTTGGGCAAGTGGGAGGTGAAGAACTGTACCATTTTTAAGGCTGGCACCATTTGTAGAAAAGACCTCGGCCCACCCCCGCCCCCTGAACCAGAGCCAAACCCCAACGCAACCTGTCCTGATGGATGGGTGTCCAGACCAGACATCAAAAACTGCTACAAGGTGTGTGTGTGTGTGTGTGTGTGTGTGTGTGTGTGAGAGACTGTCTTTGAACATTGGTGGTCAGCTGATGGCTGTCGTAGGAGTTAATGAGAACTGTGTCATTTTTACACATCAGAGTCTGTTTATGGGTCTTGGGAAGTATTACTGCTACTGCATAGTGTGACAAAAAGTTGTATAAAGCCTTCTGGTATATTGCCTCAAGTTTATATAATTTGAGTCAGCGTTGAGGCAGAAGACTACAAGTTTGAAGGGGGAAAAGTTAGATATTGGAGTTCAAGAAGGGAGCTTACCAGACTTCTGCAGCCTGCTCCTAATCTCTGCTGCAGGCCAGGGCTCAAGGCTACATTAGCCGCTACCAGAAACAGTTTAGAAATGAGATGACACACTTTAGAGTCATTTCTCTTATCCGGGTCGTGTGGGTTTTGCCACTGCCCTGCCCCTTTTGGAGACTCACTCCAATGTGTGAAGTGAATGTGAGTACAGATTATGACCTATTGTTTTGCTCGGTAGTCACTGAAGTAAATATTGGGTCAATTTTTTACAAGCCTTGAATCTCCTGAACATTCTGACCCTAAAATGTATTTTTTTCAGACAAATCAGGAGAAAATTAACTTTGTTCAAGACTTGTCTTTGTCCCAGCAACACACTCTCACAAGATCTGGCAACAACTGATATGATCCTGCACTCGGTTGATATCAGTTATCAAGATAGCAGATTAAAACAAGCAGAAAAATGAGGAGCAAACATTAAATTTCTTTTGTGTGTAGTGTTTTTCTCGTTTTGAATGTGCTTCCGTTCATCCACACGATGTTCATAGCACTTCAAAATGTGTGTAAGAGGATGCGGGGAAAGAGGACCATGCTCACCTCAGACACAGGAAGTGTATATCATTTCATACCAGTGGTGCAGCTTGTAATGCATCATGTTTTGCAGTAGAGCATCTTTGCTGCTACTAGCATAACACCCAACTCTCTGACTGAACTGTTGGAGGTTGAGTTGCCTTGTGGGTAATGTAGACAGCAGGTTTTGATAACTAGGAAGAAGAATGCACGGAATAAAGAAAATTATATTTCTAGTTCTAACGTGTCAATTTTGAAAAATCTATAACATTATCATTCCAACACCTAATTGTTGGGAACAAATGAAGACTTGTGTAGTTTATTAAAAAGCATTGTATAAAATATATTATAAGTATCTACTACTGAAGCTGCTTCTGCATTAGATGGATCAAAGCGATGATCTGTTTTGGCTTTCTAATTGTACAGATTGTCACTGACATGATCTACAATCTACAATCCAGCCTGTTACTTGCTTGCACTGTCTTAGTAGCTGTTGTAAATTGGGGTTTTTTTTCCCTTGTCAGGTGTTTCATGAGGAAAGGCTGAGCAGGAAGCGCTCCTGGGAGGAAGCTGAGAGGTTCTGTCAGGCTCTGGGAGCTCACCTGGCCAGCTTCACAAGCAACAGAGAGATGAGGGCCCTGCACAGCATCGTAAGAGACAGCATCAGGTATACACACATGCACACAAGTCCTGTTTGTTTTCCTTTTTTAAAGTGTTGTTGGCATTTATGTATTTCTCGTGGTTTATTTTAAGCATTCTGACATGAACACATCAAAATTAATTGTTGCAATACACACTTGATGTACTAAATAACCTTAGTATTGGAGTCAGGCTTTGAAGAGAGCATAGATAAGTTTCACTTTCAGCTCTACGAAAATGCATGTGTTTGGAAAGTACCGAGCATGCGACTGGATAAATGAGACTTGGATTGTGTGTGACTTTTTAAGTGGATGTTGGATATAGAGTACAGGCCAAAAGTTTGGACACACCTTCTCATTCAATGCATTTTCTTTATTTTCATGACTATTTACATTGTAGATTCTCACTGAAGGCATCAAAACTATGAATGAACACATGTGGAGTTATGTACTTAACAAAAAAAGGTGAAATAACTGAAAACATGTTTTATATTCTAGTTTCTTCAAAATAGCCACTCTTTGCTCTGATTACTGCTTTGCACACTCTTGGCATTCTCTCGATGAGCTTCAAGAGGTAGTCACCTGAAATGGTTTTCCAACAGTCTTGAAGGAGTTCCCAGAGGTGTTTAGCACTTGTTGGCCCCTTTGCCTTCACTCTGCGGTCCAGCTCACCCCAAACCGTCTCGATTGTGTTCAGGTCCGGTGACTGTGGAGGCCAGGTCATCTGCCGCAGCACTCCATCACTCTCCTTCTTGGTCAAATAGCCCTTACACAGCCTGGAGGTGTGTTTGGGGTCATTGTCCTGTTGAAAAATAAATGATCGTCCAACTAAACGCAAACCGGATGGGATGGCATGTCGCTGCAGGATGCTGTGGTAGCCATGCTGGTTCAGTGTGCCTTCAATTTGGAATAAATCCCCAACAGTGTCACCAGCAAAACACCCCCACACCATCACACCTCCTCCTCCATGCTTCACAGTGGGAACCAGGCATGTGGAATCCATCCGTTCACCTTTTCTGCGTCTCACAAAGACACGGCGGTTGGAACCAAAGATGTCAAATTTGGACTCATCAGACCAAAGCACAGATTTCCACTGGTCTAATGTCCATTCCTTTTGTTTCTTTGTCCAAACAAATCTCTTCTGCTTGTTGCCTCTCCTTAGCCGTGGTTTCCTAGCAGCTATTTGACCATGAAGGCCTGATTGGTGCAGTCTCCTCTTAACAGTTGTTCTAGAGATGGGTCTGCTGCTAGAACTCTGTGTGGCATTCATCTGGTCTCTGATCTGAGCTGCTGTTAACTTGCGATTTCTGAGGCTGGTGACTCGGATGAACTTATCCTCAGAAGCAGAGGTGACTCTTGGTCTTCCTTTCCTGGGTCGGTCCTCATGTGTGCCAGTTTCGTTGTAGCGCTTGATGGTTTTTGCGACTCCACTTGGGGACACATTTAAAGTTTTTGCAATTTTCCGGACTGACTGACCTTCATTTCTTAAAGTAATGATGGCCACTGGTTTTTCTTTAGTTAGCTGATTGGTTCTTGCCATAATATGAATTTTAACAGTTGTCCAATAGGGCTGTCGGCTGTGTATTAACCTGACTTCTGCACAACACAACTGATGGTCCCAACCCCATTGATAAAGCAAGAAATTCCACTAATTAACCCTGATAAGGCACACCTGTGAAGTGGAAACCATTTCAGGTGACTACCTCTTGAAGCTCATCCAGAGAATGCCAAGAGTGTGCAAAGCAGTAATCAGAGCAAAGGGTGGCTATTTTGAAGAAACTAGAATACAAAACATGTTTTCAGTTATTTCACCTTTTTTTGTTAAGTACATAACTCCACATGTGTTCATTCATAGTTTTGATGCCTTCAGTGAGAATCTACAATGTAAATAGTCATGAAAATAAAGAAAACGCATTGAATGAGAAGGTGTGTCCAAAATTTTGGCCTGTACTGTATTTTTTGCTGTTGTAAAAGACGTCCCCCAATCAATTAATAAATCAATATGTTCGCCATTTTCCGTGGAGGCATCCGAGAACAAGTTTTCCTCACAAATTGAGGGTAACACGGTATGACTAATTGATTTACAAAGTTTTCCTTTGAAATAATCACACGTCATCTCCTTACTTACAGTTCACACTTGTTCAGTGAGTCAATTTTAAACTATTGTAGCTAAGAATAAAATGCCAACGTCCCTTTTAAAATTTCTCATCACTTAAAATGAGTTTTTTACATCTTTTTCTTTGAAAGAAAATTGATTCAGTGTCGTGAGTGATGGTGGTTTGCTCTGGTGTTCTTGTTGCAGTGACAATCGGTACTTCTGGGTCGGCCTGAACAGGAGAAACCCAGCCGATCGCTCCTGGCAGTGGAGTGACAGTCAGCCTGTGAGTATAAATATCAGCTCTAAGGCATTGTGAGAAGTCATACGGTATATATTTTTAAAATTTAATTTTTGGTATGAGATTTTTCAGATTTTTCTGAGAAATATTCTTTCATCAACATGCTGTACTGATAATAGTGATACATTTCATTTCAAGACAGTGACTCCTTAAAATTCACTTTTATTCATCTCGAACACAACATATGTTTTGCATTATTTCTGAGTATAAACTCTGTTTATTCAATGTCTTAACAACAGGTATCTATGGAAGTTTTACACTTAGATTTCCATGAGGACGATGCCTACAGTCGGGACTGCACTGCATTCAAGGTGGGCTGGGTAGATTAATTCTACCAAATAGAGTTCAAAGCCACAGGTGGTAACTTGAAGAAAGATAACTTGGTCATATTTGGTAAAACTGTCGCTACATCCACACTGTAGTGCATGAGACCGATGATCTGTGAAAAAAAATCATGTTCCTCCTCGTAGTGCTTAAAGCATTTGCTAGAATCCACCGTGGTTGAATGGAAAAACAGTCAGTTAGAGCCGGGGACTCCCTAACACAGCTTTCAATTACTGCGGTCAAACTGTCAAACTAGGCAGTGCTGATCAAATATGAATCAAGATTCAGTTACTGTTTTGCCTATTTCTCGCGTCAAATGCTTTCAGAAACATATTTTAGTGTACTGTTTAGCTGTAACATGAGAAAGTTTGTGACCTGGTTGCCATGTTGGAAACAGTCAAGCCAAAATAAAGCACCACCAACCAGCCGGAGCAAACGTTCTTTTTTTTGTTTTTTTTTTTGTTTGTTTTTTTTTTTTTAATTTCCAAGTGTCATACACCGAAGGTGCCCAGCCCTCATGGGCTTACAAGACACTTAAATCGACATGAAGGAGCCGAACAACATAACCAAAAGGAAAGCACAGGAAATGATGCTTTCATATATGCATCCACCCACCTACACACACACACACATATATATACACACATACATACATATATATACCCATGGACATTTCTCACCTACATACATATTGATGTTAGGTGGTAATAGTGTTTCACACACATCTCATTTTACAGACACACTAAAATATGTTTCTGAAAACATGTGAAGGTGAGAAATAGGAAATGCAATACCAAAATCTTGAGTCATATTTGACTAGCACTGCCTAGTTTGACAGTTTGAACACAGTTCACAAGTAGCAGTTGACAGCTGAGTTAGAGACTCCTCAGCTCTGACTGGTTGTTTTTCAACAGTTGTGGCGGATTCTAGCAAATGCTATCAGAAGTATTACGAGGAGGAGTAACTTTTTTTTTTTTCCTGTCTCTTGTATTACTGTGTGGATATAGTGACAGTTTTATAATGGTTACCAACCATAGCTTTAAGGGACAAATAAACATTTATTTTGCCTTTATTCTCCATCTCTATACCCAGTTATTTCTTTGTTATAGTCTCATATCTTTCTTTTATCTTGTTTTTAAACATGTTTTTAGTTTTAGTTTCAGTGAGATCTGGTTATCTATACTGTGCAGCTTGATTTGTGAATCAAGGCCATTTGTTCATCTGTTTGTGGGAGTCACATGGAGCGCTACAGCTGAAATCTGCCCCGACTGACTCAGTGCTTTCATTCTGTCTTGAAACAAAAATCCCCAGAAAGACAGCCGGCAACAACAGCTGTTCCTCTTTGTTTTTTCACATCACGAGGACACTTTCACTTGCCATACAGCAAATCTGACAAGAAGATAATTTCTTTGTTTATTATGTTTCTCTCTTGCTGTTGCCTCCATTGAAGAAGTACTGTAGTATCTTGCCACTCAGACTCTGAACTTTGCTCTCATTTAGGTTGACCCAGTTAATGATTGTGTTATCAGAAAGAGAGACGTTCTTGTCTTAAACTGTTGCTGAACTGCAGGGAGCAACGAGATCTGCCATGTCACAGATATGAAACTGCTTTTCTTGTGTACTTCCTTAATGATAATGTTTATGTAAACAATCTGTGTCCTCGTTAAGACGACCAGAAGCACCTTGAAACACCTGTTTGTGTTTCTGCTGCACGACTTACCTCCCACGCCTTTCTATGCCACACCGTTTCACTGTGACGCCAGGCTAGAGTGGGTCTGCCAAATACCCCGCGGTAAGACTACACATATGCTGTGTATACTGTGTGTATTTTGCACAAAGCAAACATTGTGTTTTGTAGGTGAAGAGCTAACATGTCTCATCAAGACTGCTTACTGGTAGTTAAAGGGATTTCTAATGTCCCTAGAATTTTTTGGTCCAGACAGTGGTTGATGTATTTGGCTAGTTTTACATAACACAACTAAAGAAATACATTTTTGTGGGCTTATAAATACATGTACTTGAAAGCAACATGAGCTGTGTGTTTTTGATTGCTTCTAACTTATTCTTTGTTAATCCCTTTACAGGAAAGGAACCCAAGAACCCAGAGTGGTACAATCCTGGTAATGTAGTCTTCCAGATTCTGTGCTGAGTCATAATTATATTTTGAATCTGTAAATTGGATCTATTAGTGGCCAAAATTTCTTCAATTCAGCTTTTTCTTTTCTCTCACAATCTTCTAATAGAGTCATTTCACATCTGTTGTTGGGTGCAATATGTCTCTTGTCGCTGTCCAAAATGTGTCAGGATTTTAGACCGTGTTCGTTGTGCTTTTCAGGTGGACACCATGAGACGTCTATCTTCATTGATGGAGCAGAGTTTTGGTTTGTCACGGAGCCAAAGCTGACTTTTGAGGAGGCAAAGCTCTTTTGCAGTATGAATGACAGCAGACTGGCTGCACCACTCACCATAACTGCTGCCGGACAGATCCACCAGCAACTCAAAGATGTAAGTGCCTAGAGGCTATAAGTGACATAAAACCAAACCCCCAAGGAACAGCGCCACCAATGGTCAAATAGTAGAATTACAACTTCCAGGTCAGTAATGTGATGCCATGGGGCCCAAAAAGACTTTTTCCCATAGACTTACATTGTGAAAGTGACACTTTTTTTTTAGCATCAAAACCCCCCCACGAAATGATTCATTTGCTCTGACAACATTTCGAAAGTCTAGAGGCGTCACACAATTAGGTCATTTTATCTGCATTTATGGTGGCGCAGGGCTAAACCAGAAGTTATCTGCTCTGCTGGTGGAAGTCTCTAGTGCACCTGTTCTCTGGGCCCATTGATGTAGATGATCTGGGCTATTTTTTACCCAGGAAGTCACACTTTTTTGCACATGGTAGAAGTTTGCCTAAAGCCCTTTCTGGCAGGAATCAATTCATTTTAACCCCAATCATTTTTTCCTGACCTTAAGAAATCCCTTTCTATCAGAAAACCCTTTAGAGCAACTTTTTGATTTCATAGGCCACTGAGCAGCTTTTATTGGGATTAACTGGGCTCCGCCTCTGACAGTGTATCCAGTTCTTTTTATACGTCCGTGCATCAAACCAGGAACCCCCAATTGTATGGTGAACCCCGTTTGGTGAGCCCCGCCCCCCTAGTTACCATTGCTACACCTTTTTAGCTCAGTACAGCACAAGTTGGTGGTAACAGTGGCAGGTATACCACTCAAAATTCATAGCAGTTGTTCTGAAACAATGGGTCATTAATTTCAAAAAGAGGTAGACAAAAACAGGTTTCTCATTTCCAGACAACGACCAGATTTTGTCCATTGAAGTAATGACTGTCTCCAGATGGCTGTATTATTTCTAGCTAATTATTTTTGGAACAAGAACCATGTAAAAGGTTTTTAAATATGCTCTTGATGGATACATACATGATATTGTGCTAAAATGCTAATGCAGGCTGCTAATGTAAGAGTAGATAAACCCATTGTTTATTCGTTACCTTACAGTTTGCTCGTTTTTTTTGGTTTTGTAAAGACCAAAAACAAAGACACCACCTTCCACCCTTCACTCCCTGTGGATACTGAGTATAACTAGCTCTTGCTACAGTCCCATGCACACCGTTTCATCCCACAGCTTATCTAGAAATCTGAAGCTTGACGGATCAGCTATTATGTCTTGTTACAGTTGTGGGGCAAGATTGGACAGTCGCTGTTTTGGGGTGGGTCTTAGTGAACGGTCAAGTAATTGGTTTCTGTCTTTGAGAGAGAGTAGCTCATGTTCACAGATATTGGTTAAACTTTCCAAAGCCTTTGAAATAACATATTGTAATTCTTACTTTAAGTGGTGTTCCCCTTTGAGAGCGAAAAGGAAGAAAACTTAAATAAATTGGAATTTCCTGTCCTTTTCTGTTTCTGCTGCTTGCCATGGTTAGCCCCTCGTTTTTTTTTTCTCCCCATGGGCATCCAAAGTTGATTTGTAGAGCCTAATGACCGGGGAAATTCTTTCCATTGTCGTCTGGTCATGGGAAGCTGACAGTATTTCATGAGAATACATCTGTAGGCAATCGGAATAAAGTAGTGCAAAGTTTTGCCTCCAAGCTTACCACTAAAAAACAGTTATTCCACTATTTAATTCCATAGTCCAATAAGTATTGTGTGTCTTTCCTTGTCTGATTGATGTGTCAAATTCTCTCTACTTTATAAACTGTGGTTGTAAAAATAATTAAATTGTTATTTGGTCATGAAGCACTAAATCTTGAATGTTCTGAACAGATATCGAGTTCTCCCAAGCAAAACTGGTGGGTGGATTTGAGCGAGCCTGGCCGGGTATTTCCCCTGACGTAAGCCAGTACAGTCACACACATACAGTGCTCATGTTGTACAAACACAATCGATTCATGATGCTCGTACCTGTTTATATGTGGTGAAATGTGATGTTGAGGCTGACTGAAATAATGCATGTTCTAGGTACACCCAGATGTTCTTCTATCATTCGGTTTTCCTGGGCAGATGCACCTCCGTCAGTCCTGAAAACTTCTTTCCAGGTGTGTAGACATGATTGTGTTTCGATACAGCTGAGTATGATTAAGGATATTATTTAATCTACCGTATTGTTTGGACAGAAACTCAGTCAAACTTTAATTAGTTAAAGAAACTCATCCCTGTAAACAAGAGGGTGACAGGTTTGGCTGATCTGGCATTTTTTACAGTTTGAAATAACAGGGATGCTTACAGTCTTTTTACTAATACACACATCTACTGTCACATGCTTCCTTGCAGAGTATGAGCGCAGTTGCCAGCAGCGATTGCCCTTTGTGTGTGAGAAACACAACGTCACGTCGGTGGAGAGGAACCCTCTGGAGCCTCAACCTGAAGGACTGCCCTGTGGAAATGGATCTCTGTCCTTCAGAAATAAGGTCTGACCCTCCAACACATTTAACTCTGCATCTACATTTTGGACACTTAAAAACAGATTAACTTTTGTTCTCATGGTCTTATATTGTCAACCCTATAATCATGTAAAACAGAATTACAGCTAAGACCAGAGTATGATAATATCTTTATACATCAAAGGAAAATCCGCCTGGAAAGTCTTTAAATAGTCTATTTCCAGATCTCTGTGACAAGCAAAAACAAGCCAAAATGGTCTTGCAGAGCAGTGGTTCCCAACTGGTCAAGCCCCGGGGTCCAGATTTATCCTTAGTCTTTAGTTCACGGTCCAGACAGTTTAATACATTTAGCATCATACTTGTATTTGGACATATCGCTAACCTAGTCTGCTGTCTCTGTCGAGTAGCTGTCCGTTAATCACTCACTCCACAGCAAGAAACAGCACTTCAAAATAAAAGCTCCGGAAATTCAATACACGTAAAAATAAAGTGTGTTTTTTACAAACTTGACACGTTCACAAGTCACTTACGGTCCATTCAGAATGGAACTGTGACCCACTTTTGGACCACGACCCACCAGTTGGGAACCATTGGTGAAAGGTATTTAAAACAGATTTATACACATTCACATACAGCGTATAGTACAAAGACATAAAGGTGGTTTCTGTCTCATAGATTTCCAAGTGATTATTTTACTTGTGTATTTTTTTTAGTGCTACACACTGATGACAAGCTTGAAGCCTGTGTCCTTCAAGTATGCTGGTGACGAATGCCAGTCGGTGAGGGGAACCCTGGTCACTATATCCGATCAGGTGGAGCAAGGTGAGGACTGCTGTTGTTCTGCTTCAATGTTTAATGAATCAGAGGAGCACAGTTAACATGCCTGTAAGGACTCAGATGATGTTAAATAGCTTGTTTTCTTATGTTTGATAAAGTTTGTATGTGAGCCGGTTGAATAAGAAATAATAGTCAAAATGCATTATCTTGTATTAAACACAAGGAATTGTTGGACTATATTTGTGTTTTAGACTTCGTCACCACCCTTTTGCCGGGCATGAGAAACATGGAGAGGATATGGATTGGTCTGAAAATCAAACGTGACGACCCTCAGTGGGCGGACCAGACCCCGGTTAACTACCTCAATTTCAACCCCCTGCTTCTGGGCATGCACAGGGCCATAAAAGTCAACGTAAGTTCACCCTATCTTTCACTTCTGTATTGAATGGGGGACTCTGTAGAGGTTAGAAGCTCAAGGCTATGTTAGTTGCAACTGGCATAACCCACCAAAGTCTCTGCCTGAACTGTTGGCTGTCATGTTGCATTGAAGGTAATGAGGCACCAGGTTTTCATGAGGAAGAAGAACAGTTCTGCTGCACCAATTTTGATCTTTTTTTATGCCTCTGTGTTGGTGACAGACGTGGCCAGAGGCATTATGTTTTTCGGGTTGTCCATCTCATTCTCATGAACACAATATATATCAAGAAGGGGATTTCTTCAAACTCGGCACAAACATCTGTGACCTTACAAAACACGTTTCTGGCTGTAACTCAAGAATTCATACGCCAATTATTACCAAATTTCACACACATGTCTAACAGGATAAAATGATGAAGTGATGACATTTATTATCCAAAAGGTCAACTTTCCTGTGACGTTATAATGTGCTGCAAAAACACTTTTCTGCCCCTTATTTAATGCCACAACTCAGGAACAGCAGGGGAGACATTTGGTCAGATACTAAATTGGTGACACTAATCTTGGGCACTCACCTTAAAACTGTGCTGATTGTACAGATCATCTGTGCCGCCTGGTTCTAGATGTGTGTGAAGCATCCAAGTTTGAGAATCTGCAGCTTTTTTTGCAGCAACATCCATATTTAAAGCATTGACTACTGTCATGGTTACATAAAAAAGTCTGGACAGACATGGATGTAAGCTGTTACTTGACTGGTTTGCAGAGGCATACACAGCAGTTGTGTCCATCGTGAGTCAGACAGTATTACATGCTAAATCAGTAGGGTGCTCTTTGGATACGAACTTGGGCTCTGAGCATGAGATTAGTTGTGCTTTACCATGCATTATCTTTATCCAGTCAGACATAGACTGTGGATAGACACAATATGTTTTTAACTGTTAGCACTGGTACTACTTGCTGTATTTTTTCCCCTTTCTCAACAGACATGGGATCTGGAGAGCATGGAATTGTGTGTATTTTTGCTCAATAACCCCAACTCTGACATGCTGGGTACCTGGGACTATTCTTCCTGTACGCAATTTCAAAATGTGGCCATTTGCCAGCACTACGCAGGTAAATCACCCCGTCCAACACTTAATACTACTTCATTATACAGATTTTATTTTGCATAAAGTCACTTAATCAAGTTGGTTAATCTGGCATGCTAAGGTTCCTCATAAGAGATTATTGTTTATTAAGTATAGACTATGCCATATATGTTGTCCCTGGAAAATACTGGTGGCATGAGGGTTGAGGTGCCAGCCATAGCAAATCATTCTCCATCTCTTTCTTCTCTAATGCCCCATCATGTCTCAGCTGTATTCTCTCTAATAAGAGGCATGTATTGCTCAGATAAATACTTCTGATAAAGAAAAAATCCACTTCTTTTTGCAGCAAGATAACGAAGCAACTGAGGTCACTGGCACAACTTTCATGACATGCTGTTTTTTAAATACAAGGCTTACTCATTTCAGATAAACTGGAGGAGCCACACATCCCAACAGAGCCCTTCAACGTCAATAACCACACCATCCTGCTGCTTAAGAAAAATCTCACCTGGTTTGAGGCCTTAGAGCAGTGTGGAAGTAACAACATGGACCTGGCAAGTGTCGCGGATACCTTCCTGCAGTCCACCCTCACTGTGCACGTGAGCCGTGCACGCACGCCCATGTGGATCGGCCTCTTTAGCGAAGACGTAAGTGTGCCAAAGAAGGGCTGCCTTTATTTTAAGCCACTGTTTTAAAAAAAAAATCTTTAAAAAAAAAATTTTGTGTGTGTTCAGGATGGGATCCACTACCGCTGGACTGACCACAGTCACACTGTGTTCAGTCGCTGGTCCTCTGATGTCACCAGTGGCCGCTGTGTCTACCTGGACACCGATGGTTTCTGGAAAGCCACCGAGTGTGAGGAGGAGCTAGGGGGCGCTATCTGCCACAAGCCACACAGTGAGTGAAGATATGAAGTACAGATAAACAAAAATATGTATTGCACCTCCGCGTGCAGCTAATTCCTGCTATCAATAGTGAACAAAACATTTTCTCCAGATAAAAAAAAATCCAGGAGCTTCACTCTTTCCTCATTCTGTCATGAAAATTGGTTTATTTTAAACAGATTTGTGTGCCTTTGTTCAGAAAAGGGCTTACGGCTATTCCAGTTCACAAGGTTGAAAAGCTGTACTGTGTTTAAATGTACTACTCTGTTGATAAGTCATCTGTGGTAACAGGATGTAGGCTGTTGTAGAGGAAATTTGGAAAATTTAGAAAATAAAGCTATGGCTTCCCTATTTGGCCCGACTGGCAAAACAAAGCACAAGAGACATTCTGGCGTTACTCCAGGAAGAGGGATTGTTGAGTTCTAAGTTAACAGAGTCTGTAAAAGTGAGATTCAGGAACACTTCTGTTCTGAAAACAGTTTTACAGAAGAAATAATAGAAACAGATTTTTTTATGCTTGAGTGAAATAATTAGGGAAGTTAATCCATTTTTTGTCGCTGTTGTTCCTCATGAATTAAGTCCTTGTTAAGTGTCATAATACTGTGTCAAAATTTGAGACGTGTGTAGACTTCACACTTCAACAAAAGCACTTTACAGGTTTCATCTCCTCTAAAGTCCCTTCCTTTTCTGCTAGCATACGTCAGTGTTCTTGGAAATGCTAATATCTTGGAACTAAACCAAATTTAAACCTCTGTATTACAGACGAGATCATCACCACACCAGAGGATGTTGCAGTGAAGTGCCCCCACAAGATAAATGGTCCAAACTGGATCCCCTTCAAGAACAACTGCTACTCCTTCCAGCTGGTCGCCACCAGATGGGAACAGTTTGACCAAGGGCAGATTCAAGATACCTGCAGAAAATTTCGTAAGAATTTCTGGGCACGTTAGTCTGACTCACAGGCTGTAGACTGTGTGTGTAAGCCTGCCATTAGCTGCCTAATTCAGGCGTAACTCTCCTCCCCTTCTGCTATCTGCACGTCACAGCTATCAAAATCCCCATCGCTACATGAAACAAGCCAAACCTATCTCCACACTTTGTTTTAAAGCTGTGCATGAACTCCCAACTCTTTATAACAGGCTGATGTTGCTTCAGTTGTTAATGGTGATGCCTTTATGTTTCAGATGCAGGTGCAGACATCCTAACCATCCGAAATAAAGAGGAGAACGAGTTTATAAAGCAGCAGCTCATACCGTTTCAGACCTTGGCCCAGTTTGTCTGGCTGGGGCTGTACAAAGATAACAACGGTGAGCACTTTAATGGACATCTGTGTCAGTTTTTTCAGTTGTTTTTTTAAGATGTAGTTGGTGTGTTATGTAATAGAGGGGCAACACATTTTTCTGCTGATAATCCTGATAGCTAAACTGAAGGTATTGGCCATTATTGATCTGATAACAGGGATTTTTCTCCTTCAAACAGCTGCGTCAGATCATAACCGGTACCATCACAGAGCTCATTGACCTTAATTTGTATGGATGATAGGAGGTGCTGCTAGAGCCCTCTGATTGGTCGGTTATTCCAGGGGCTGGGTTAATATGGCACCAGGGATTTTTGCTTATACAATATTTACCTGATGAAGTAATGAGGACTGAAACACCACAAAAAAGTGACAAGTGATTGACAGAATGAAGGATTTTTTTTGTTTCTTTCTTTTTTAAATTTAAAATCTTGTAATTATGCCAGGGTTAATAGTAATATTGTCCTGCTGTAGATAACCAGATGAAGTGGTATGATGGCACAAATGTCCAATATTCCAACTGGGCAAAAGGCAGACCAGAAGTAGACAGACCATTCTTGGCCGGTCTCACCGTTGACGGCAACTGGATTCTCATCTCAAGGCCGAGCTTATTCGCAGAGTTCAAACAAAGGACCATTGTGACCTGCAAACTGGACAACGGTTGGTGTTTCACACTTAACATCATAATTCATATTTCTCTGTTCATCTGCCTTTACTGCAAATATTTTACTTGTCAAATGATCTCACACACATTTTAACCCTTCCCTCCCAAGAATTGAAACATGAGTACAACAAGTCATCCTTGGATTTTCAACAGTACGGCAACTTAACTTACGAGGTTGTTACCCAAAAGCTAAATTGGCAGCAGGCTTTGAAAGAGTGCGGTCAGCGTGGCGGCCACCTGGCAAGCATCCACGATATCGAGCACGACGCACACGTGAAGCTCATCGCCAAGACGGATGGCTTCTCGCTGTGGATTGGCCTGTCGAACCAAGATGTAAGAAAAATCAAAATCTGAGCAAAAATAATTTACAAGCTTACACTGAGTGCTTCTCAAGTACCTCTCATGTGGATTTCTTTTACATGATGGCACCTCATAATTTCACTTCACCAGATAGACTAACATAAGAGTCGTTCTCTCCGTGCAGGTCGGTGGCTCAGCCTTTGAGTGGTCTGATGGAACAAAGTTTGACTACTAAGCCACCATCTCAGACTCACAGGAGGGCTCCAGCTCAGACAAACAAGAGGCCAGCTGTGTGACTATAACCCCTGATGGAGCCTGGGCGAGGACCAGCTGTAATACGCTGGTAAACGGAGCCCTCTGCTACACCACCAGCATCACAACCGCCTCCCAGAGTAAGACACTATGATTTATTTATAGAACCGCATTGTTCTTCTTCCATCACCATTTTAGGTTGAAACAGATCTTTTGTAAAAGTCTGTCCAGGGTGAAGATTTTCAGAAACTCTGTTTTCAATGTTGATGTGTAGACAGGGAAATCTGAGTCTTTAGAAAGACGTCAGAGTGTGTGTGTGCTGTTAGCTCCTTTTTGTGAGGTGTGAAGTGACATTTTGTGCACTGGGAGACATGTCTAAAAATAGTGCTTGTTAACAGGACATTATTTTGGGTGTCTACAGGTCCTTAAAAAGTCCTACCATGTCTTAAATTCAATGGTACAACAGTAAGGCCTTAAAAGTCATTAAATAGTCTTAAATTTCAAATCAAATCAAATCAAACTTTATTTGTATAGCACTTTTCTTACATTAAAAATGCAGCACAAAGTGCTTCACAGAATAAAAACAAACAAAAATACTACATACATATTGAAAACCCGCCCCTCCCACCCCCACATATAAACACACACACGCATGCACACACACAGTCAATATAGTCAATAATATGGCTGGGCACTGAGGAACCAGGTGAGGATAGAACCACCTATGGGGAGCCATCCACACTGAGAGGCGCCACAGCCTACGGCCACAGGGAACACCACCACAGAGACCACCCTGACCCAGACAGACTGGGGTGGACTCCACACATGGTGCAGAGCCCCCAGTCCTCTGGGCCTGAGGGATCTCCAGGGTGACGTCCCCGCGGGTAGACCGGACACACCTCTCAGTGTGGAGGCCCCCCATGAGGAAACACTGGAGCTAAAAACTAAAAGACTAAAAGGCAATATGATAAGATAAAACAAGTATGAGATAAAATAATGATAAAATGCATANCGATGTGTACATGTTAATTTGATTTCAGTCATTTTGTTTTAAATCTGGACATGTGCAGGTGGACTCAGCCAGTGCTAAGAAAGGTCCTATGCCTGCCTGTTGGAGAGATAGAGAGAAGATTAAAGTGTCAAATTGCGGTAAAAGATGCTGTATAAAAGACAGGCTACAACTTTTTTTCCTTGTCCCCCCCTGGAATAATTATCTAAAATTTTACTGTTTATTGTCCCCCCCAACTATGAAATGGGATTTTCGCCCCTGTACAGTTGTATTTACCCTGATGAAATACATTCTAAGTCAACACCATGACCGACATATTTTTATGATGTTGGTATTGTGTAAAAATTTTAACCACCTCTGGATGATCAAAGGCTTGAAAAATAACATCATCCAGGATGACCACAACATCTTCAAATTCCTCAAAAGAATCAGGTAGCCCTTCGATAAATGTAATATTTTTATTCATTTTTTGCAGTTCATCATACATAGGCTGGAATGAAGTAAAAATCCACACAATTTTCTGAGGTACAGTACTTGTTTTCCAGTACAGTTTTTACAAAATAACTTTTCCCACAGCCATTGGGTCCAACTATAAGACATGAAAAAGGCACTTTCAGTCTAGGGTCAAATTCAACCTCCTCCATCACGGCAAAGTGTGACATTTTTCTTTTCTTTTTTCTGTAAGGGAAAAAAAAAAAATTGAGACTGTTGTTTTGGATTGCCATAATGCCCCTAAGATGATTTCGTCTTTGACAACTCATTGTCGTTTAACTGAATACCCATCCTCTGAGACTTTTCTCGAGGAGGACTCTCACTATGCAGTCTCTTCCCGTTCTCCTCTTCCTCCTCTTTTTCCTCCTCCTCCTCTTCCAACTTTTCCTCCTCTTCCTCTGAATAATACCCTGTCTCAGACGTCATCACATCAGCATCCTCGTTCTCTTTATCAGATGTGTCCTTTTCATCAGGCTTCTCCGCACTCACATCTTTGTTATTCATAGAAACCACCATCCTTAACATCATCTTCATCACTGCCCAATCCTCGGTGGTCAACACCGTCATGTTGGTTGAAGGACTCAGACTTTCCCACTCACCCAGCTGATACAAACACAGTTTGCTCACCTCGTATCTGAACACATAACCCCAAGATCCAGACATCCATGGTTGTAGAGACCATTCTTCATGCAGAGTTCCTGATGGCGGCATCTGGGTACGGCACAGATACATCAGAAACCTCTTCTTTGGAGCGCCTGGTACCTAGGTAGCATCTTGATAGAATGTTACAGTCGTCTGACTGAGCATTGATGAGGACCAGTTGTCAGGCGAGTCTTCTCCTCTCTTCATCTCTTCCTCTTCTTCTTCATCCACCGGTGTAGAAACCGCATTGTCCACTCAAATCGATTCCAACATTTGCAGATCCATGCTGAGTACAAAGTAGAATGAAAGAATTAACAGAACCTGTTTTTTATCCACTTCTCAACATCTCCCACGGTTCTCATAGGCTCATCCTTAACTCCGCCCTCTTCTCTCATTGGTTCATCCTTAAATGGTCCCTGTGGGCAGACCGGACACACCTCTCAGTGTGGAGGCCCCCCATGAGGAAACACTGGAGCAATATGATAAGATAAAACAAGTATGAGATAAAATAATGATAAAATGCATAAAAATTAGAAAAAATTAAAGATTTAAAGATTAAAATAATATTAATAATAGTAAATAAATAAATGAAGATTTAGAAACTAAATAATAATAAAATGCATAAAGATTTAAAAATAAATCATTTAAAAGCATTAGAAAGTAAAAATAACGACATGCAGCAAAGGGCCACAGGCTGGATTCAAACCCGGGCCACTGTGGCAACAGCCTTGTACATGGGGCGCCTGCTCTACCACTAAGCCACCAACGCCCCGCAGTTATACTTCTTTCCTACGATTCTTAGGTGAAACATGATTTGTCCAAAAATCTGGCTTAAATTTGGTTAAAATGTGTCTTGGACAGGTCTTAAAAAGCATTAAATTTAACTGTGATACCTGTAGACACCCTGATAATGTACAGCTACTCTTCCACTATATAGAGGAATAGAGGGTTCAGAGAGTGCGACTAACAGTGCTCGTGTGGACAGGAATGTCCTTAAGAACAAAGGAGGGAAACACCCCTGTTTTCAAAAATACCCCGTGTGAGGCCGTAATTTGTGTTGGAGTGGCACTGACCGTCGTCCATTTTATCTCTGTGTTGTTATGAATCAGGAGCCAGACCGCAGGTTGCCCCAGTGGCCAATCGCTGCCCTCAGAGCGGCAGTGGGTCCATGTGGGTGCAGCACAAGGATCACTGTTACGCCTTTGACATGAGCTTCTACAACTACAGCGTGTACAGCATGGAGCAGGCCAGGAGCATCTGTCAGAGCATGGGTGAATTGTTGTTTGGTGTATTAAGGGTTGTAATTAATATTCACCTGAAGCGACTGTAGTCTAATCTTTTTTTTTTTTTTGCTGCTGACAGATTCTCAAGTACTGACCTTAAAAACCAAAGAGGAGAACGACTTTGTGTCAAAGTACATGTTTGATGACCCTCTCATCACCAGTCGAGTGTGGCTCGACGTGGAGCTTGATAAGCAAGGTAAACCTCACAATGTGAAATGGAAGCAGGACAGTAACACATTGCTGAGGATTTAGATAACATGACACTTCCAATCTACAGTTTTCAAATATTTAAATTATGATTATAATTATAGTACAGCTGTACCCAACTCAGACTAATGTCAGTCGAATAAGATTTGGCTGTTCAATACAAATATTCGACTGTTCGTTATTTTTTTCCGTATATTCATGTGATATAGTAATCAAACCAAGTTAGCCCTCTGAGCTTATGTGTATTAACTGCGCTGACGATGGACTGGACATGTGCAACATTTTTTGCTGACACTAGATATCAAACAAAAGCGAGAGACTATGAATTTTCTTTGAGCTGTAAATTCAGCACTTCTAAGCAGAAGGCAAAGGATAACGTTAGTTCAGGTCTGACCGGGTAAAGCCTCTCTTCCTCCAGGTGGCTGGCTCCATCTCATGCAGACCATTCTCGGAACCCATTGGCTGTATTCGGCGTCTGACTTCCGGCAGACGGTGATACAGCCTTTTTTGGCATTCCGGTTTGAGGAGGCGAATTTCCGTTGCCGACTTCCGTTTATATATAAGTAAATATGCTGAACCACTGCGATTGATTCAGAGTTTGCAGTGGCCAATTATGTTCCGCCTCGTTAGTTCACCACACGGAGCGTTTAACCTGGTAACAACTGCAGCCGGCTCAAATGTGATTGATCAATATCACGCGGACTACAAACAGCCTAGCACCGGAAACCAGGGCTCTTCCGCTCTTCTTCTGGAGGCAAGATCTCCGGGGTTTGCCTACAGATTCTACATTCACTGAATGTAGAGTCTGTATATAGAGACTACATGCAGACTAACCCTGGAGTATCTCAGATTTCTTTACTGTCATAGTACAAGCATGCAACGAAATTCAGGTGCACCCAAGGACCAGGCTCATATATAAGAATTATTAATAAATAGCATCAGCTTGATTACCTTAACGTGTTCTTTCGAGTCAGATATTACCCCTCAACATCATACAGAAACACATTATTTGTGACATTTGTGTTGTTAGACTGATGATGGATCCTTCTCCCTCTCATTATCCCCTTGATCCTTCTCTCAGGTAAACCTGTGTCCTGGCAGGACGGCTCGGCTCTGGCTTACTCCAACTGGAAGTCTGACCCCGGGGTTACTGTGAAGACGTCGGAGCCCTACTGTGCCGTCATGGTTGCAGGAGATGAAGGATCCTGGAAACTTGTCAGCTGCAAGAGCAGCTACAGTCGTGTTGTCTGCCAAACTGCAGCAAGTGAGTATGACGACTGCATTAAAGGAATGGTTTGATATTTTGGTAAATGTGCTTATTTACCTTCTTGCTGAGAGTAAGATGATAAGATAGGTGCCACAGCTATTATCTGTAGTATGAACTTTAACATGATGACAAGAACTTCACTTCTGCGTCCCCAGAGTCTGAAGGCTCACCAGTGGCGCTGGGTCTCTTCATCGTGGTCATCATCGCTCTCATTTTAGTTGTCGGCTTTATCGTCTACAAGAAGAAAAGAGCCTACTTCACTTCCACCGTCCGCTACAGGAGGACGTTTGATGACGCGGATGGCACCAGTATTATAACAGATGCTGACTGAGCTCGCTTTAGTAATCAGCCTCAGGGAGTATCGATGTGCCTTGTGTGCATTGTCATACTTTTCAGCAAGAGCAGATGCAGCCTCTCTCCTTTTTTTAAATTATTTATTTATCCTGCTCAAGCCTGCAAAAATTTCTAGAATGATGTGTAAAACTGTAAATATTGTTAGAGAATTGTGAATATCCGTCAATTCAGTATCTTAATTTGGGTTATTTTAGATTTTGTTTATTAAGGGCCCTGTGTTATACCTAATGTAAATACTGGGGCTCTCTGGTAAATGTTGATCGTTAGTGGGATGTTAAGAGTTTTCTTTGTTTTTGGGGGGGGGGGGGTTTTTAGATTGTAAAAAGATTTTGACTTGATTTACAGAAACATATAACCCGACAAAACACTCCCATTCAGCCTTATGACTGGAGTTAAATTGCACTGATGTATGAGTGACTCCAAACTATCAGAAACAAAACGTCCATTTACTGTTTAAAATCTATTTACATTGCTCAGTCTAATCAACTGATTTTTCAACTGCTGATCACACAGTTACAACTAATCAATACATTAATAGACTTTTTAAAGGGCCAGTTCACCTGAAAATGCAGGTACAAAAAACTTTATTTTCTTTGACTTGCACTGTTTTACATGTTATATAGTTTCTCTTTAAATACTCACAATACTGCCCAGACGTTTCTATCAATAGTTTTAGAGCTAATGTTCTCTCCCAAAGTACGACCCATAACTGTCTACCAGAAAAAAGAAGACACTACAAACTGTAGCTCTCATGTATGTCATGTAGTTTACACTGACTATGTTTACATGCATACTAGTATTCCAGTATTATTCCAAATATGGGCGGCGAGGTGGTGCAGGGGGAGGGTTGGGGGAGCCCTTCAGTGTGGAGTTTGCATGTTCTCCCTGGGTACTCCGGCTTCCTCCCACAGTCCAAAGACATGCAGGTTAACTGGTGACTCCAAATTGGCCGTAGGTGTGAATGTGAGTGTGAATGGTTGTCTGTCTCTATGTGTCAGCCCTGTGATAGTCTGGTGACTTGTCCAGGGTGTACCCTGCCTCTCCCAATGTCAGCAGCCCCCTGCGACCCTCAAGAGGATAAGCGGTTATGAAAATGGATGGATGGATGGATGGATGCTTAAGACATGATTCTGATTAAGATATGTGGGATTCCGGTGTAAGGAGCATTCTTTGGACATGTACAAAGCGCATTCAGAATATGCACCTCAACTGGGGGTTTTACCGCAGTTTGGGTCACATGGCCTCTTGTCTGTTTACAGTTAGCTCTATGTGTTGTCATGGATACAGTGTGCACAAACCAACTCACCAGGAGTTTGCAAGAAAGTTTGGTGTAGAGATGCATGCCCAAAAGAAAAGCCCACATTTGTGGTTGGAAGAAGAAACACACCTGCTTTTAAACAATATGAGAGACTTGGATATCAGCAGGTTTTTGGATATGGACAAATATGGCAACGTCGACCTTTTTAAGAAGGTGGTTTAAGGGATGAAAGAGGAAAGCTGTGTTGACACAGTCTAACTCTAGTCCTAGTCCTATTTGATGTAAAGAAGCAGCTGTTCCACTTTCCTATATTATGGCGTGAAAAACAACATGTTAGGGAGCGTTAATCGGAGTATGCACAGCTGCATGTTAACAGAAATATTAGTGTAATATTGATTTTCATTAGCCATGTAAACATCTCAGTGGGAATATAGTCTTTTTCTGAATATTTTGTGCATGTGAACGTTATCTCCAAAGTCATAGTAAAACTATCTATACTAAGAGACTGCACTGTGGTCAAGAAAACACGTTTGTATTTTTAGTTGAACTGCCTTTAAATAAGTGGAAAAAATGGGATGGATAAAAAAAAGAATCTCACTTACTGTGCCTTTAACATCACTGCTTTAGAAGAAATGGGAGTATTGAAGCCACTGGATAGGGTTATTTTCAGTGTATTTACAGATTCAGTTGACTTAATGATGCCAAACTATATGTTTTAGTTCTTAATGCGTAAATTATGAAAGAGAGAAATCTGAGAGTTTAGTCCTGCTGATTAGTTTGAAAGGTTTAGGACACTGTCTTAACCTCAGAATGATCCAGACATGTTTGTGTGATTTGTCTGTTTGTGTAGACCTGACTTTCCTATGCACTTAACTACTGAGCAAGAACGCACTTTAATATGTTGTGGAGCTTCAGTTCCTCACTATGTTTAAGCACATTGAGCTTTGGAGAGTTTTTAAAAAGACGTTCAGATTGCACTGGCATTTGCTGTGAATGCTTTGTAAATATGTTTTATAACTAAGAATGAACCAAAGATGCTCTGAGTCGTTTGAATGTCAAAAAGCCTGAGCTTTCCTTTCACTCTGTGGGACTGCCTCAGTGCGGCTTGTAACCCATTCATATCACGTTGTAAACCAAATCGTAGTGGGTTGGCTTTTTGTTTTTTTTGTTTTGTTTTTCTTAAACTTTCCCAACACTCCTAAACAGATCTCGCTCAAATCAGGTACAGTACCCTTCCAATAAAATTTTCTTTCTTCAAAGATGTGTCTTTTTGTCTTGTCACTGTGATTAGTGTACGTGGTGTAAAGACATCTACCACTGCATGTAGAAAGTAATTTTGTCATGTACTTTAAAGGGAAAATCCACCCTAAAACAGAATTTACAATGCAAAGATTTAACAGTAGAGCTAATATTAATTATTAACCGGGGGGAAAAACACTTAGGGTTGGTCCACTGACAATGAATTATGGACTTGTGAATCACTTCATGAGCTCATACTTGGAATATATTATCTCAATTTAAAATATTATAATTAGCATTAACATAATATTTATTGGCAGCTTTTCCTTTCTCTTTCCATAGAGCAGGGGTGTCAAACTCATTTTAGTCCATGGACCCCATACAGCCCAATATAATCTCAGATGGGCCGGACCAATAAAACCATCGCACAAGTACCATCAGCTCCAATGTTTCCCCTTTTTTTGTGTGAAGAATTACAAGTACACTCTGTAGACATTCATACTTTTACAAAACAGACGAACAGCCTGAGATGTCTGAAGAAAAATAAGTGCAATTTCAACAGTACGTCTCAGTTTTTCCATGTGCAGTCAGTCTACTTCTCCCTGTCATTACATGTGCATTCATCAACACATTTCTTGATACAGGTTCTTTTGAACTGAAGCTGCTGATTGACAATATTTTGCACAATGTTCAGTATCTTTAAACATGGTCACAGTAAGTATTCTTTGTTATATCAGAGAACTTTATCCTGGTGAAGTTGGGAAAGCATGTGAAGCAGAATTCACACAAAGTAAGCATAGTTTAACTAGCTCCTGAAACCTGGCATATTGTAGTCTAGTCATCTAGTGGGCCAGGTTGGACCCTTTGGTGG